AGGACACTCAACAGCAGCACCCCCAGAACCAACACCCCCAGAGCGAGAACCCTCTCCAACACCAGCGGCACCCCTGGAAGTCGCAGGACAAACACCCGCCTTCACACCAGCACCCTCAAGGGTCACGGGCGACCGCGGCAGTGGCGGCGACGACTGCAGCGGCGACGGCTGCAGCGGGGTCGGCGACTGCGACAGTGGGGGCGGAGGCACCGGGGAAGGGGGACGCGGCAAGGACAGATGGGGGGAACCACCAAAGTCAGCAGACTCCTCAACTGGGACAACCGACGGGAGGGGAGTGACGTGAGAGACACCAGACGGGGCAGGACGCGGCGGGAGAGGAGCAGGGGCTACCGGGGGAGAGGGAGCGAGGAATAGGGGCCTGGCAACCGGGAGACCTCGGTGAGGGAAGCGGCGGTAGAAGGAGACAGACTCGTCAAAGGTGACGTCACGAGAGTGGAGGAAGCGCTGAGACGGCGGGTGGTAGAAAAGCCAGTCAGACAAGTCCAGGGGAATACCGAGGAAGACACAGGGGACAGTGCGGGCAGTGAGCTTGTCCGTGCCAAAGGCACGAACGTGAGCAAGGCAGCCCCAGACGTGGAACGCAGACGCGTCATCGGGGGACCCTGTCCAAAGGAGGGTCGGCGAAACCTGCGGCCGCTGGGAGCGTGGCCACAGGTTAAGCTGGTGAGCAGCGTAGCGAACGGCGAACGGCCACAGAAAATGGGGGGCATCGGCATGGATCATGGAGGTACGGGCGACCTCCATGACCAAGCCGATGCGGCGCTCAGCAACCCCATTCTGCTGTGGCGAGTCCGGCAAGGTGTACGACTGGGTGATGCCCTCCGCACGACAGAGCTGTCCAAGCCGACCAGAAGCGAACTCGCCGCCACGGTCAGAGTGGAGACACAACACGGGGAGACCACGGTGGAGACGCGCAGCCACAACCCACGGGAGAAGAACGTCGGGCACGTCGGTCTTCCGCTCCAGGGGAAAAACCGTGGTGTAGCGCGTGTAGTCGCCAACGAGCACAAGGAAGTAGCGCTCACCACGCGGTCCGAAGACGGGGGCACGGCCCCAAACGTCCAGGTGCAGGGTCTAAAGGGGGGCAGTAGCAGGGCGCAGCGAGGAGGAGTGAGGAGAACGGCGGAGCCGGCCCTCGACGCAAGGCGTGCACGGTGGCGCAGTCGAGGGAGGAAGGGCGGGGAGCGACGCAGGGAGACCTAAGACAAGACCGTGCTGGGACATGTGACGCAGACGAGGGAGGGCAGGGTGACCTAAGCGGTGGTGCCAGAGGAGGGACGGGTGAGTGAGGGAACGACACGAGCAAACTGCAGCAACCTGGGAGGACGTACCAACCGGAGGGGAAGCGGTGTCTAGGGTAAACAGACCGGACACCGGGTCCCGGGGGAACGTCGCAAGGGGGGAACCTGAGACAGCCTCAGAACAGACAGCAAACCGCTCGTGCCCGGGGAACATGGTGGTGACGCCGAGGTCCTGGAGAGAGCCGACACCAACCAGGTTCCTCGAGAATGAGGGAACGTGGAGGCCTGTAAGGGAGCCCGGAGGAAGTGCTGGACAGGGAAGGGACGTAGAACTGCGAGCGACGACAGGACCCGCAGAGGGGTCAGCGAGAGAGACGACAGCCGGCGTAGCAAGCGGCGTGAGCGCACAACGGTCGCGGAAGAAGCAGGCAGAAGCACCGGAGTCGAGAGTGAAGGACAGCGCCGCAGTGGCGGGGACAGGGAACGGAGCCGGTGCAGAGACGAGGCTAGACAATCTAGGCAGTCCTACGCCTGACGCAGCAGGGGAGGCTAGGCTACGCAGCGGTGCAACACCTAAACTAGAGAATACAGGGTAATAAGATCCAGCAACACTAGCAGCGTCAGAATACACAGCATGCAAAGCAGCACCTATCTGATCCATGTCTAACTCAAAGATCGGCACGCCCTGGCGGAGCAGGCGGTGCCAGTCAGGGAGGTCCGGGGCCGGGCCAAAGCGACGACGAAAGAGATCGTCGAGGCGGCGGAAACAGCGGGCAGTCGGGTGCGGGCGGCGGCACAGTGTGCCGCGAAGGGGCCCGGTCTGAAGCTGGTACTAACAGGTCACAGCACCGGAGCCACTGGTAGACGCCAAGCTGCGCGGGCCGCCACCACTGCCACCACCTCCTGGGTGCCGGGCCAACCAGACGGGAGACGAGCCCACTGCTGCGGGAGGTGCGGCTGGGACGGCTGCTGCTGCTGCTGAGACGGCGGCTGCGGCGCGGGCTGCTCCTGCTGCTGCTGGGGCTGCTGCTCCTGACCACCAAGGCTAGTCCCCCCAGACGGACTACTCTCACGACCACCAACACCACTACCAGCGCCACCACCCCGACCACTCTGGCGACAACGGCCACTGCGGCGCGAGCGCTGCTGCAGGTGGACCACAGCAGCCGTCTCAGTGAGGGGGGTGGCCGTGGCGACCGCAGCCGAAACGTCAGTGAACGTGCACTGGGAGGGGGCACAGCCGTGAAAGATAGAGACTGCCGACGCACCGCTCGACTGAGCGATTGTGCGCTGGCGAGTCTCGATCTCGGTGAGGGTGTCGACAAAGGCGGTGAGAGTGAGGTCAGCCGGGTGCAGGCTAAGGAAGTGATCGCGAGCACTAGCGAGGCGGTCTGGCAGGCGCATGGCGATAAAATAGAGCGTCATGCAGAAAGGGGGGGGGGAGCGCAGTGAGCTGGGCAGCAGTGCTAGCAGTGCGATAGCGGGTCTCTAGGGCACGCAGGTGAGTGGCAAAGTCTGCGACGGTAGGGAAAGCTGCAAGGTCTGGGAAAAGCATAGGGAAGAGCAGGCGACCAGCAGAAGCAGAGGCGGGTGTGGAATAGCGGGCAATAACAGCGTCTAAATAAGCTTTGGCCGTCTCAATAGCAGCAAAACGCGAGCGCTCAGAGACAGGGAGGGCGTGGCTAATGGCAACCTGAGCGACTGCATCTCGGGAGTCCCAGACCGCACAGGCAAGCGCAGCAGTAGAGAAGGTCTCACGGTCAGCAGAGGAGGGATCAGCAGGGAGGGGAGCAGGTGCGGGGAGGCGGGGGAGCAAGCCGTCAACATGGACGACCAAAGAGTGGCCATCCTGGCGCTGACCTGTAAGCTGGCGGCGGAGATCGGAGAGCCAGGCGACGAAGTCAACCGCATGGCCCTCGGCGTCCAGTCGGAGCACGAAGTCCGCCATCGTGCAGGGTCAGCAGCACAGCTCCACAGAAACACAGCGACGCGGAACCACAGTGACAGCCCCCTTCCAGCACGGCGGCCACGAAGCGCCTCAGCACGGGCGAGCCGAGGAGACGGAGCCCGAGGGGGCACGGCAGGTGCGGTGGGGCCAGGCAGGTGCTGGTGGGGCCAGGCAGGCGGGGCGGGGCAAGGCAGGCGCGACGGGGCCAGGCAGGGGCGACGGGTCCAGGAGGCGCGGCAGGGCCAGGCAGGCGCGACGGGCAGGCAGGGGCCGCGGGGCCATGAGGCGCGGCGGGGCCAGGCAGCGCGGCGGAGCCAGGCAGGTGTGGCGGGACCAGGAGGCGCAGCAGGGCGAGGCACGCGCGGTGGGGCCAGGAGGCGTGGCAGGGCCAGGCAAGCGCGGCGGGGCCAGGCAGAGGCGGCGGGGCCAGGCAGGCGCGGCGGGGCCAGGTAGGGGCTGCAGTGCCAGGCAGGCACAGGGGGGCCAAGGAGGCGCGAGGGGGCCAGGGAGCGCGGCGGGGCCAGGCAGGCGCGACGGGGCCAGGCAGGCGCGGCTGGGGCCAGGGAGGCGCGACGGGGCCAGGGAGCGCGGCGGGGCCAGGCAGGCGCGGCAGGGCCAGGCAGGCGCGACGGGGCCAGGGAGCGCGTCGGGTCCAGGCAGGCGCGACGGGGCCAGGCAGGCGCGGCTGGGGCCAGGGAGGCGCGATGGGTGCTAGGAGGCACGGGGGGCCCAGGAGGGGCGCGACAGGCTAGGAGGCGCTAATGGGGCCCAGGGGGGGGCGCGACAGGTTAGGAGGCACGGCAGGGGCCCAGGAGGGGCGCGACAAGGTCTAAGAGGCGCGGCAGGGGCCCAGGAGGGGCGCGACGGAGCCTAGGGGGGGGGCGGCGCGACGGGGCCTAGGTGAACGCGCGACGGGGCCTTGGAGGCACGGGCGGAAGCGGAAGGTGGGAGGGGTCGAACCTACGGATGATACCATATCAGAAACTAAAATTTAACAAGTGTTGAATAGAGAGAGACAACAAAGGTATATACCTAAGAGTGTTGTACCCTCTACGAGGTGACCCTATACAGTCTATACCAATATATGTTATATATATGTTTGACAGATTCATCTGATTTTTTAGAAACTGAAAATTTGGCCGTATTACCGCCTAGAATGTGCCTAGAGCCTAGCGAGAGCCCTGATGACAGCTGGGTGCCCCTCGCTGACATAGAATCACACCCGATTCTAACAGCGTATTATCAGCGTCGGCATGTTTCCGATGCCCGCGGTCTCGTTTAGGAGGGAGGGGTAGTGTACGGAATTTCCATTCCTTACTGAGTCGTATGCTAGCGCGTGCACCCGAACTCCTCGACTCGTCACGCTCGGCCTCATTTGTCGGCCCAAACCTTTCCCGAGTCGCGTCTAGCACTGTCGCGACATTGCCGAACCTACCCACATTCCGAGGTTATTGCCCTAGCACACCAGCCCCTATTTAACCTTGTGCCTTCATTGCAATAGCGACCTTGTATTCTCACGTTATAGTTCATTGACACTTCCGATATCATATCATATCATAACACTAACCGAACTTTGCGAGTCCACCAGAAAATTTCGATGTTATGATTGGTGAAAGTTCATTTGCGCGACATTGGTAGTTGTTCGGCTTGACAGCTGACTGGCTGGAGCCGTCTGTTTTTCGCAAGACCCGAGGCAATTTTTTTCCAGCCTCGGTTATTCCCGCTAAACCTCGGGTCTAACACTCGCTGCGGAATGAGCCCTCATCCAAGATCTGCCAATTCGGTACAATCAGGGGATCTGGAATGCTCAGAGTCGTCAGATTTCCCGCGCTTTCGTAGCTTTCTCCAGGCATTGCCGTTGCTTTGCTTCGGCCATGAAAAACCATTCTTAATAGAATCAGACAGGATCTAGGACTTCCCTGGTGTAGTAGTACACCCTGGTGTACTATACTACTGTATACACCCTGTTTAGAAGGCTGATCGTTCCGTCGGTCTGCCTTCAGGTGACGCGGAATCATTAATTGGCAGGCGGAACAGACGGACTGCAATCATTGATTAGTTACCCTCTTGAGAAGCAGATTCGTTAGTCTCGTGTCGCCGCTCATGGCCCCAGCTGTCCACGTGTCGACGGCCCACGCGCTTAGCGCCCACGCAGCCACGTCAGCTGCGTCTAGGCCCTTCGCAGCCTCAAACGTTCGCCTCTCGGGCTTTGCGCGACGGACCGTGCATGGAATACAGGACGCGAAGCAGTATGTCCGACTACGGGAATCGAAGCAGCGTGTAGCGCGTATTCGCCGCGGCGGGTCCGCGCCGGCGCCACGCGCCTCAGGTGGAGGCGAGCAACGAGCGGTAGAGACGATCGCGAGAGAGGGAGAAACAGGAGGATCAGAGTCATGGGGTGATAGTAACGGAGGTGACAGTGGCCCGAATCCAGCCACATTTGGGGCTGCCAGCTACGCAACGGCATACGTTGCCGCACCTCCGTTCTCTCCCCCGGTAAGGCCAGCGTGGCTCTTCAAAGTTCCTCCATACACCCCCTCCACCAGCGTAAGGCATGATACCTTGAGACAGTCAGGCAAGCTGTCCTTCCTTCTCTCCCCACTAGCCCTCCTGTTTTGACGAATCGAGTCACAAGTTCACAGACCGTCTCGAGTCTCGACGTCTTTCCGTTCCCTGCGAGTGTTGCTCTTTCGCGGTCTGGGCTGCATAGAGGCCAGGAGTAATGTGAAAGACTTTGAGTAAGGTGCTTTTGAGGCTACTGGGCTCTGTTTAGCCTAGTAGCCTCAAGACGCGCTCCTTCCTCAGCTGCTCTGCTCGCATGCCATCTGGGCTGAATAGAACCCAGGGGTTGCGTAAGGGTCTCGCGTCCAGCATTCCGCGGGGCTTGGGACTCCGCTCGAAATGCTGCAGGATTCGGGGTTCGAGGTTTAAGAATGGCAGGGTTCAGGGTTTAGATGTTGCCAGGTCTGCTTCGAACTGGCGTCAAGATCGGGGGTTAGCAGGGCAGTGAGGGGTAGGGCCAGAGGGCCGTGTATCTCCGTTTTAAGCTATGTGCTTCTTTCATTTGAGTCGTCGTTAGTCTGACTCAAAGGTCAACATGCGCATAAGAATTCCCTGGGTACCGCTGTTCGCAATGTGATTGTGATCATGGGCCGTGCGTCCCCTCCCCCATGTGTCAGCATCAGCAGCGTCCTTGTTTCATCGTGCCGTTTCCCATCCCCATCCCCATCCCCATCCCCATCCCCATCCCCATCCCCCTCCTCCTCCCCCAGGTGGCAGCAGCGGCGGTGGCGGTGCAGGGGGGGGTTGCTGAAGTGGATCGACTGGTGGGAGTGAGCCTGTAGCGAATAGGCCTTTTCATTCCAACATCCCCCGCCCACTCCTCTCCTCCTGTTTCGTAGTGCCGTTTCCCATCCCCATCCCCATCCCCATCCACACCCACCTCCCCATCCCCATCCTTATCCGCCTCCCCATCCCCCATCCCCGTCCCCCCGTCCAGGTGGCAGCAGCAGCGGCGGCGCTGCAGGGCGAATTTGCAGAGGTGGATCGGCTGGTGGGGGTGAACCTGAAGCGGGTGCTGGACGCGTTTGCTGCTGCAAGGGTCGGCAGACATGTGAGTGACAGTGAGCGGGGCGAATGTGAGTGTGCGAGTGTGGGTGTTAGTGTGGGTGTGAGTGTGCGTGTGAGTATGGATGAGAGTGTGGGTGTGTGGGTGAAGATATGGTGAGGTCATAGACCCTCCCTTCTCATTCTTTTGATCCGCTTCCCCCTTTTCCTCCTCCCCAATTCCCACTGCTTTTCAATTCTTTTCAGTCACAAGGATATCGGACGCAGGGGTGCACTTGACCTAAATTTTGCAGGGTGCTTTAGAGAAGCCGCAAAAGCATCCTTCAGGGGGCAGGGGGGCGCGCTTGGCCTGAGAGTCCCCTTTCCCTTCACTCCTCCCTGGTCCCCGCACATCAGCATGTCAGTGGCACCGGGGGCTATGGTCACGTCACAAGGATGCTGGGGGTCAGTGAGGCGCTTGACCTGAAAGTCCTCTCTTCCCGTTCCCCACTGTATGCTTCCCATTCCCCCCCCCCCCACCCCCCTCCATCTAACCCATCCCCCAGTAATGGTTTTCCTGTCTCCCCCCTTCGCATCTAACCCATCCCTTCGCTTCTCCGGCACCACCGGCTATGGCCACGGGGATGCAGGAGGACGGGAGGCGCTCGACTTGAGTTCCCCTTTCCCCTCCCCCCCTTCCCATCTAACCCATCCCAGTGCTTCTCCGGTACCATCGGCTGTAGGCGCTCGACTCAGTAGGTTCCCCTCTTCCTTCCCCGCATCCCCTTTACTTCCCCCCATTATTCTCTCCTCCCCACTCTCCCCCCCCCCCCCCCTCCTCCTCAGCACTTCTCCAGCTGCGCCACGGGCCACAGTCAGAGGGGATGCAGGAGGCGGGGGGAAGTGCTGTGGTCCATGTCCAAGAGAGACTTTCGTGAGGGGATGCTGGAGGCAGGGGGCACTGGACTCGAAAGTCTCACTTTTCTCCCTTTATGTCCGGTTTTCACACTATGTTTTCCCCCCCGACTGCAGCATTTCAGCGGAACCACGGGGTACGGCCACGGGGATGCAGGGGGCAGGGAGGCGCTTGACTCGGCCTTTGCTCAGATCGTTGGGGCAGAAGCAGCATGCGTGCGCGCACAGGTGGGGTGGGGTGACTCGTAGAATTGAGGCGCCTCAAAACTACACAGGTGGGGTGGGGTAACACGTAGAACTGGTTTTTGTGACAATAGCGTGGAAGATCACCTTAACGTATGTGCCCGCACAGGTGGGGTGGGGTTTTTTAGTCGACTCAAAAGCATGCTCAGATCGTTGGGGCAGAAACAGCGTGCATGCATGCAGAGGTAGGGTGGTGTCGGACGGGGTGGTCTCGTTGCGGGTAGTATACCGTATTATACTGTACGCACCATATGTGATTTCTGGTGATATTGGTATTCCATCATGCCATGTATTATTTTTTAGGCGCCTCAAAAATGTACCATGGGTGACTTCTGGTGAAGTTGGGCGTCCATCAGGCCGGATCAAATGTTGCCCCTAAACTCTATGTTTCCACATTCCATGCCTTTCCTTCTAGTATCTTTTGAGTCGACTCAAAAGCACATTCCGTGCCTTTCCTTCTAGTATCTTTTGAGTCGACTCAAAAGCACATTCCGTGCCTTTCCTTCTAGTATCTTCCGCCCCCCATCCCTTTCCTCACCCCTCTCCCACCCCTCTCCCACCCCTTTTCCACTCCTCATCCCCCTTCCCTTCCGCCCCTTCCCTTGGTCTCTCCCAGTTTTTTTCAGGCACCCACGCAATTGCTGCTGCGCTCTATGCTGTTCTGCGGCCTGGGGACGAGGTGAGCGGCATTCCATGCGTGAGGAGGCTATTTTCCACGCCTAAAAAATAGACGCCTCACGCATGTTCTGCGCCCTGGGGACGAGGTGAGCGGCATTCCAACTGTAGGTGAATTTTGAGGATTCTCAGAAAACACCTACAACGATAGGGTGAGTGACTCTTCATTTGGGCCGCCTGAGGAGCACTCTTGAGGCTGAGCTGCTTTTGAGTCGACTCAAGAGCCGCCTCAGGAGCACTCTTGAGTCTGAGCTGCTTTTGAGTCGACTCAAGAGCCGCCTCAGGAACACTCTTGAGGATGAGCTCTATGCTGTTATGCGACCTGGGGATTAGGGGAGCAACATCCCTCATCCCTATTTCTGAGGCGCCTCCAAAAGATGAGGTGAGTGGCATCTATCATCCCTAGGCGAATTTTGAGGCGCCTCAAAAGTGGCATCCATCATCCCTAGGCGAATTTTGAGGCGCCTCAAAAGTGGCATCCATCATCCCTAGGCGAATTTTGAGGCGCCTCAAAAGTGGCATCCATCATCCCTAGGCGAATTTTGAGGCGCCTCAAAAGTGGCATCCATCATCCCTAGGCGAATTTTGAGGCGCCTCAAAAGTGGCATCCATCATCCCTAGGCGAATTTTGAGGCGCCTCAAAAGTGGCATCCATCATCCCTAGGCGAATTTTGAGGCGCCTCGAAAGTGGCATCCATCATCCCTAGGCGAATTTTGAGGCGCCTCGAAAGTGGCATCCATCATCCCTAGGCGAATTTTCACCAGGCTCTACCCTCCCCTCCCTGGGTTAGGATTCGAGTTCGGTGAAGGGCATAGTGGTGCCAACGAATATTCTCATGCCGTTTGAAGTTTTTTTGCGTTACCTGGGGGAGGCGTCAATAAATGGGCGTGTAACACTTCTTCCCCTTCCAACCTTTCTCTGCCACACGCAGTGTCACAAGGAGAGGTGTGATAAAAAAAGTTGCCACTTTACCTCTCCTCCGTTCTCCCGCCCTCTCCCCACCTCCACTCTCCTTCCTCCCTGCAACTTTTTATCACACCTCTTCTCCCCCTTTTCTCCTGCCCCCCTTTCTCTCGCGCTCCCCTCCCCAGCTGCTGTCAGTGGCAGGGGCGCCCTATGACACCATGGAGAAGGTGCATGGGCTCAGAGGCCTACCTCCTGTCTGCCCCTCCACCCCATACCTCCCTCCTCTTTTCCCACCGCCCTCCCACCCCCCTCCCCAGCTGCTGTCAGTGGCAGGGCGCCCTATGACACCATGGAGAAGGTGCATGGGCTCAGAGGCCTACCTCCTGTCTGCCCCTCCACCCCATACCTCCCTCCTCTTTTCCCACCGCCCTCCCACCCCCTCCCCAGCTGCTGTCAGTGGCAGGGGCGCCCTATGACACCATGGAGAAGGTGCATGGGCTCAGAGGCCTACCTCCTGTCTGCCCCTCCACCCCATACCTCCCTCCTCTTTTCCCACCGCCCTCCCACCCCCCTCCCCAGCTGCTGTCAGTGGCAGGGGCGCCCTATGACACCATGGAGAAGGTGCATGGGCTCAGAGGCCTACCTCCTGTCTGCCCCTCCACCCCATACCTCCCTCCTCTTTTCCCACCGCCCTCCCACCCCCCTCCCCAGCTGCTGTCAGTGGCAGGGGCGCCCTATGACACCATGGAGAAGGTGCATGGGCTCAGAGGCCTACCTCCTGTCTGCCCCTCCACCCCATACCTCCCTCCTCTTTTCCCACCGCCCTCCCACCCCCCTCCCCAGCTGCTGTCAGTGGCAGGGGCGCCCTATGACACCATGGAGAAGGTGCATGGGCTCAGAGGCCTACCTCCTGTCTGCCCCTCCACCCCATACCTCCCTCCTCTTTTCCCACCGCCCTCCCACCCCCCTCCCCAGCTGCTGTCAGTGGCAGGGGCGCCCTATGACACGATGGAGGAGGTGATTGGGCTCAGAGGCTCGGCGGGGCACGGCTCGTTGAGGGAGTTTGGCGTCAGCTACCGGCAGATAGAGGTGCGATCTGCTGGGCACAAGGGAGTGACGCACAGAGGTACACCAGGGCACGGCTCGTTGAGGGGGTCCGTGTCAGCTACTGGCAAACAGAGGTGCGATTTTCTATGCTCCCGGTCCTCTCCTCCAAACCCCTTAGCAAACCCTTTCCTCTTTTGAGGCGCCTCAAAACTCCCAGTCCTCTCTTCCAAACCCCTTAGCAAACCCTTTCCTCTTTTGAGGCGCCTCAAAACTCCCAGTCCTCTCTTCCAAACCCCTTAGCAAACCCTTTCCTCTTTTGAGGCGCCTCAAAACTCCCAGTCCTCTCTTTCAAACCCCTTAGCAAACCCTTTCCTCTTTTGAGGCGCCTCAAAACTCCCAGTCCTCGCTTCCAAACCCCTTAGCAAACCCTTTCCTCTTTTGAGGCGCCTCAAAACTCCCAGTCCTCTCTTCCAAACCCCTTAGCAAACCCTTTCCTCTTTTGAGGCGCCTCAAAACTCCCAGTCCTCTCTTTCAAACCCCTTAGCAAACCCTTTCCTCTTTTGAGGCGCCTCAAAACTCCCAGTCCTCGCTTCCAAACCCCTTAGCAAACCCTTTCCTCTTTTGAGGCGCCTCAAAACTCCCAGTCCTCTCTTCCAAACCCCTTAACAAACCCTTTCCTCTTTTGAGGCGCCTCAAAACTCCCAGTCCTCTCTTCTAAACCCCTTAGGTGAGGATGGATTTTTTTAGGCGCTTCAAAAATAGACTGCTCCCAGTCCTCTCTTCCAAACCCCTTATCAAACCCTTTCCTCTGCACATGTCTTGGTGTTTTCCGAACCCCCCATCCTGTCCTCTCAATCCCCCTCTCCTTTCCTCGCCCAATTTATCTCTTTTTGAAACGCTTCTACAATTCTCTCACCATAACCTCCTCCCCTCCTCCTCGCATAGTTGACCCCAGAGGGACCCTGGATTGGAAGGCTCTCACTGCCACAGGGGCAATGCAACCGAACACATGCTGTGTGTTGCTTTCAATCGCCTCCAAACCTCCTTTCCGTTCCTCCCCTGGGATAACAGTTCAGTTTTGAGACGTCCTTTGACTAACCTTTTAGGGGGTGTCCGAAGTAGGGCGTAAGGTTTCAGGACGTCTCGGAACCGAGAGATCATTCTGTCAACCGTTCCAACCATTCCACCGTAGCGTACCTTCTTGTGACTTGCTGGGACGCCACAAATTGTTATACTTCGGACACCCCCTTATCACACAGAAAATGCTGCGTGCTTGCTGTCAGGCGCCTCCGAACCTCCTTTCACCCCCCCCCTTTAAGGCTCACTTCCCCATTCTTTTTCCTGCCCTTTGACCGACTTTGTTGTGCTTCCTCCTCCCCTTTCAAGTGCACTTCCCCCTTCCTCCCCCAGTTAACCTCAGAAGGAATCCTGGACTGGGATGTGCTCCGTGCGGCCAGGGCAGTGAAAGCAAACCCACGCTGGGTGCTTTGAGGGAGCTCGGATTTCCTCCCTCTGCGCTTCTCTTCCCCTCTGCCCTTTTCCAGTTGACTGCAGGAGGAACGCTGGAGTGGGATGCGCTCTGCACTGCGGGGGGCAGTGAAAGCAAACACGCGCTGTGTGCTTTGAGGCAGCTCAACGCCCCTTCCTCTGCGCTTCTCTCCCCCCAGTTAACCTCACAAGGAAAGCTGGACTGGGATGCGCTCAGCGCTCCAGGGGCGGTGAAAGCAAACACGCGCTGTGTGCTGGTGCAGCGGTCGTGTGGGTACTCACTACGAGAAACACTTACAGTGGAGCAGATTGGGCGCATTGTGGAGATTGTCAAGGTGAGAGGTTGAGATTTTATTAATCATGTACTAGGAGTAAAAAGTATCCTGATAAGTGGAACACTTACAGTGGGAGCAGATTGGGCGCATCGTGGAGATATTTCAGGTAAGATCATGTTTCCCGTGAGTGTATTCATATGAGGAATGCAACATGCTGTGGATTGAGGCGGTGTGGAGATTGCTCGGCCGTATCAGGGGGGGTGCTTTGAGGGCACTTTCAAGAGCCTCTAAATTGAATGCATATGAGCTGTTTCTTTGACTCCCCAAGCATATTGATTAATCGCAAATGAGCTGGCCTAATGTCTTTATGGGGTCTGATCTGGCATGGCACACAACATGTGGCTCATGGCGCATGGCATGTCTTTCCATTGCAGGCGCAGAACCCGTCGTGCGTTGTGGTGGTGGACAACTGCTATGGGGAGTTCATCGAAGAGAGAGAGCCAACTCATGTGGTGAGAGGGTAGAGAGGCAAGAGATGGCATTATGGCACATAGCACATGTCACGTGTCAGAGCTCGTTCCTAAAGTTGGGCCGACAACGAAGTTGGGCCAAGAGAGGTGGCTGCCCTTCTTTTTCCTGAATTTAGGTCGTGTGATAGGAGTCTAGTTTTGAGGCGCCTCAAAACTAGATCGCGGGTATGCTCGTGCTTTTGCAGCTGATGAATGATTATGTGGGCGACCGTCCGACGCAATTTCAAGAGACTCGTGTGCGTCACCAATTCCTCCTTATAATTTACTGACCGAGTGCATGTCAGCGTCGAGACCCCAACCTTGGAAATTTTGTTATTTGGAGGACAAAGCTGCGGATCTGTTTAAATCAGGAAAAATAGGCGCACACTTTGACAAACTACTGCTCTTGGCCCAGCTTCGTTGTTGGCCCAACTTCAGGAACAAGCTCTCACATGGCACATGTCACATGTCACATGGCACATGGCAGAGGCAAATGCATATGAGAACCCATCGTGCATTGTGGTGGTGGACAGCTACGGGGAGTTCGTTGAATAAAGAGAGCTGACGCAAGTGGTGGGGGGAGAGAGTGGAAAGAGATTGTATCGTGGCACATCGCATGTGGCCGATGCATGTGGCGGATGCATCTGGCAGCCGCATGTGGCAGACGCATGTGGCAGACGCATGTGGCAGACGCATGTGGCAGACGCATGTGGCAGAAGCATGTGGCAGACGCATGTGGCAGACGCACGGGGCAGATGCATGGGGCAGACGCATGTGGCAGACGCATGTGGCAGACGCATGCGGCAGACGCATGCGGCAGACGCATGCGGCAGACGCATGCGGCAGACGCATGTGGCAGACGCATGTGGCAGACGCTTGTGGCAGATGCATGTGGCAGATGCATGTGGCAGATGCATTTGGCAGATGCTTGTCGCAGATGTTCGTGGCAGATGCACGTGGCAGATGCATGTGGCAGATGCTTGTGGCAAATGCTTGTGGCAGATTCTTGTGGCAGATGCTTGTGGCAGATGTGAGAAAAAGGTGAAAACGTAGTTAAGTGTATTATCAAAGGAGCGGGTATACATAGGTGAGGAGTAGGTGGGGGGGTTTGGTTGGGAGGTGACCACTATTATTGGTCAATCCTATAAGTTGGGTTGGCCAACTTATTGGGGGTCCAATCATCCTAGCCAAGATTATTGGTGGGTCCAATAATCTTGGTTGGGATTTTCTGGGGTTCCAATAATTGGAAGCCCAACCAATTTGGGAACCCAACAAGGTTGAGAACCCAACCCCCAACTTGGGTGTATACACCTTAGTGGGGTGCATATAAGTACCTACGACAATGAAACGATGTAGGCTAATACAATGAAGGTAGAATATTCTAACAGCAGATGCATGTGGCAGATGCTTGTGGCAGATGCTTCTGGCAGAAGCTTTTGGCAGATGCTTTTAGCAGATGCTTGTGGCAGATGCTTGTGGCAGAAGCTTTTGGCAGATGCTTGTGGCAGATGCTTGTGGCAGATGCTTGTGGCAGATGCGTGTGGCAGATGCATGTGGCAGATGCTTGCGGCTGATGCTTGTGGCAGATGCTTGTGGTGGATGCATGTGGTCCCCCTCGTGTTTTCCTCTTAATGTGATGGTTCAGCCCTCCCATGTATCCTCCCGTCTCCCTTACTCTCTCTACAACTCTTCACACTCCGAGGCTCCTTTGCTGCCCTTTTGCTTGCTCCAAACGCCAGGGCGCTGACCTTATAGTGGGGAGTCTTATAAAGATTCCAGGAGCGACAATAGCGCCAAGTGGGGGCTATGTGGCGGGGAGGGCAGACCTGGTAGCTGGTTCATCCACTCCAGTAGGCCTAATAAGCCGACCTTGCTCTCATTGCTCACACTCAAGCTCGGCTTCGGCCGCTCAGCTCTCAAACACTCTCATTAACACACATTTGCTTGCTGACTCTTCGAGACCACACCCGACTGGCCAAAAGCGGCTTCGGGCGTAAAGGAGCGGGGTGCAAAACGGTTTCATGCCATCGAGTCTACCAAGCACACCAAACCATCCTGAAGAGCTGTGCTGGACAAGGTGATTTAGCGGATACCGGGTGCCATCCGCCTTCTGACGAAGGTGCCGTCCTTGAGTCGGCCTAAGGGATAGTGAGGCTTCCACGCCTTGCGACACCACCTTACTGCGGGAAAAGCTCCGGTTCATTCGGTACCAAGCGGGCGCGTGCGCTCGTGGCCGGGAAGCCTTCAGCTACACCTGGGGTATGGTAACAATCCGTTTGGTCTTCTAGCTCGCGCTAGGAGGTTTAAGAGAGAGCGCTCTGCGGGGAGAGATCTTCGCACTACTAGTCCGCCCCGGACCATGGCCAAGCGTAAGCACGCTGCGGCGCGGTTAACTGACGCGGAGCCGGCGGCCGTGGCACAACCTGGGACCCACGAGGAGAGGGGGTTGCGCCCCAAACCGACTGGGACGCCTCCTTGTAGCCATAAGGTGAGAGGGGCTTGGGGGGAAAGGCATTGGTGTTGCGAGCCGGTCATCCGGGTTCTGAAGGCCAGAGCGAATGTCCTGGGGAGACGCTAGCTCCGACGGTGTCTCCAACGAAGAAGCAACGCCCCAGCCCAAACCCCGACCCTGCTGACACCCCCGCGAGGCAACCCTCAGTCGGCATTGGTGTGGTTTCTACCATACTGAGGATCGGACTATCCGCCGGCACGGAGCAACAAGGGGGGGCTTGTGGTCACAGGACGAAAACGTAAAAAGGGGAAAGAACCAGTTGAGACAAAAGAACTCGCAGTGACGGAGAAACCGAACCCCGTGAAGATTGTGTTCTTCCCGCCTGTACTCAACAAACCGGGATCGTCTTCACCCCCTGCGGAGGTTTTTGAAGATCCTGATAACGCTCTCGAAGTCCTCGAGACGGCTCTTGTGGTCCCAGAAAATCCTTTCAAATGGCGAGGGGTCCTTTTGAGCCAACTTGTGCCCGCCTTCCAGGGATTCACTGCAGGCGGTTGGGAGGAGGTCGTACCTGCGAGCAGCGACTCCACCCATTCCTCGGGTCACCCTACGGTGCCTGGGAAGTGTGGCCGGTGTCGCTCCCTCTTTTGGGGACGTAAACTTATGAAAAAACACCACTGTTCCTCGTCAAAGCTGGTCGAGACCGCTGTGCGGAAGGTGCTGTGTCACGGACTAGGGGTATTGCCGGGGACTAGTCCGTGCAGACGCAGCACCTTCCGCATAGCGGTCTCGACCAGCTTTGACGAGGAACAGTGGTGTTTTTTCATAAGTTTACGTTCCCAAAAGAAGGAGCGACACCGGCCACACTTCCCAGGCACCGCAGGGTGACCCGAGGAATGGGTGGAGTCGCTGCTCGCAGGTACGACCTCCTCCCGACCGCCTGCAGTGAATTCCTGGAAGGCGGGCGCAAGTTGGCTCAAAAGGACCCCTCCCCCTTTGAAAGGATTCTCTGGGACCACAAGAGCCGTCTCGAGGACTTCGAGAGCGTTCTCAGGATCTTCAAGAACCTCCGCGGGGGGTGAAGACAATCCCGGTTTGTTGAGTCCAGGCGGGAGGAACACAATCTTCACGTGGTTCGGTTTCTCCGTCACTGCGAGTTCTTTTGTCTCAACTGGTTCTTTCCCCTTTTTACGTTTTCGTCCTGTGACCACAAGCCCCCCCTTGTTGCTCCGTGCCGGCGGATAGTCGATCCTCAGTATGGTAGAAACCACACAATGCCAACTGAGGGTTGCCTCGCGGAGGTGTCTGCAGGGTCGGGGTTTGGGCTGGGGCGTTGCTTCTTCGTTGGAGACACCGTCGGAGCTAGCGTCTCCCCAGGACATTCGCTCTGGCCTCCAGAACCCGGATGCCCGGCTCGCAACACCAATGCCTTTCCCCCCAAGCCCCCTCTCACCTTACGGCTACAAGGAGGCGTCCCAGTCGGTTTGGGGCGCAAACCCCTCTCCTCGTGGGTCCCAGGTTGTGCCACGGCCGCCGGCTCCGCGTCAGTTAACCGCGCCGCAGCGTGCTTACGCTTGGCCATGGTCCGGGGCGGACTAGTAGTGCGAAGATCTCTCCCCGCAGAGCGCTCTCTCTTAAACCTCCTAGCGCGAGCTAGAAGACCAAACGGATTGTTACCATACCCCAGGTGTAGCTGAAGGCTTCCCGGCCACGAGCGCACGCGCCCGCTTGGTACCGAATGAACCGGGGCTTTTCCCGCAGTAAGGTGGTGTCGCCAAGGCGTGGAAGCCTCACTATC